AGAGACTCCAGTCTCAGACAAGCTCTTCGTCGACCACAATCACAGAGTCCTTTCTTTTGAGTCTTCAGTTGATTGACTCAATGTCGGATCACGCCATGCTTGGGTCGAGCGTGAAAGTCTTGAAGGTTTGCACTATTTTACTCAAATCGGGGTTTCAGACATGGGAAGAAATAGCTCGAGAAATTTCCAGAGATGATCTCGGAGATGTCACAGATTTCGAACTCTCAGGGCTATTCAGTCGCTTCAGAGACAAGGCAAGCTCAGGCCTTCTTCGTGGTCCGATGTGGGATCATCTCATCAAGACTGCAGTAAAATTGCAGAGAAAATCAACGGTCCACACGATGCTGGAAGTTGGCGGCTTCCAGTCAAGGCAAGTGCCAACTTGGATGAAGTCGCAAGCGGCTTCGTCTTCTTCGGTTCTAAGCAACCTAGCAGATGCGGCTGGCTCGCTCAGATTCAAGAGTGTGTCAAGCAACACTCTGAAACAGTATGGCACTGGTCTACGCTGCTACATGAAATTCGTTGCAACTGCGATCCAGTTGTCTCGGAGACAATGTCTCCTCCCAGTTCTGCTGACAACGTCGGTTTCCTCCCGGCGAAGGGCGACATGGTGATCCTCTGGCTATCGACCTTCCGAAATCAAGATACAGCCAAGTGCTATCTCACGCACTTAAGGAAATGGCATGACTGGTTGGACTTGGACAAGACTTGGGATACAGTTGCCGTTCAGCGAACGCTTCAAGGTTTATCAAAGAATCCTCGAGCACCTCCAGCCGAGAAACCAAGGCTTAGCATACAGATGCTCAGGAAAATGGTCAAGCTAGCGATCCGCGAGGGGCTAATCGACTTTGCTTTGGCAGCAATATTGGGTTATCATTTCTTACTAAGGATTCCCTCTGAGCTCCTCACGGCGTCGACAAATCAGATATTCGTGAATCAGAGGACGCGAGAAGTCACCTTAACGCTCCCTAAGAGGAAGAACCTCCCAGCAGGTGATAAGCAAGTGAGAGGCTGCTGCTGTGAGTTCGATTCCTGGACATGTCCTGTGGAGGCGGCGGCGGTCTTACTCGAGAGGAGGATGTCGTCAGATCCTGCCGAAGACGCGTTATTTCCCCTCTTGTCATATAGGGCCTTCCTGCTCATACTCCGAGCTTCACTCTCAAGTATGGGAATCAAGGATGCAGAAAAGTTCGGGAGCCACGCCTTAAGACGAGGAGCAGCCTCAGATTTGGCCAAGACGGGTTCATCTTTCCAACAAATATGCGCTCTGGGGTCTTGGAGGAGCAGAGTTCCAGCCAGCGTCTACATTGATTTGACAGAGGTACAGAAGATAGCTTTGAGCGAGTTCATGTCTCTGTTCGAAGAGAGCGACTCTGAGTCGGAGGGAGAATAAGTTATATCAGTGATGACGTGTATGTTTCTTCCCATTATGTAAGGCTCGAGTAAATCGAACTTGTAGTGTTGTTAATCATAAAGGGGTATGGTCATCTGCAGTTAAACCCGATTCGGACGATCACGGTGATCAGTGCAGTTTCATGGGGTGCTGCGCTGATCGCCGAAGCCGGAAATATCTGACAAGATCATGATGAACGATTCATCTATGACTTCAGGCTGTTCTGAGTGGACAACCTGACACCCGTCGGACAGCCACGTCCTCGGGTTGCTTCGTCACGACAAGTCAGATATTTCAGGATCGTTTACGGCTTAGATCGTCCGGGCCTCGGGTTTGACTGTTGGTGGTTTTACCCTTTGGACTGACAGTCAGACCGAGTGGCTCGAGCGTTAGCACCGTTTTATCAAGAGTCTCGATTACCAGGGCGAAGAACTAGGTCCCGCCCCGCGCTTTGCGAATATAGCAGCTGGGGGCTGCCCCCATCAGAGATGCCGCATCTCTGCGAACGCGCTCGTGAGTCGATTGGTCTACTGTGAGTACGATGCCTTCAATGCGAACGAGCTAGCGTTCACTTTGGGCGGTCCTACGTTGGTACTGCGCGATGCTCTCACCGGGTTAGACACTGTCTAATAGACAGGCTCGGCAGAAGCAACCAAGTCGACGCGACCCGGCTGGTCCTGTTGGCTAACGTTGCGGAGCCGGCTCCCCGCGTAGAAGCACCCACCTTAAGATATCTTTAGCGCAAGTTGCCATGGGCCAGCAAAGAAGAGACGCAGAAGAATGTCAAGGCGGTACCAGTCGTGGCAGCCGAGGGCACCATGGAGGGTAACGTTATGGGCCAAGTGCCAGTGAACAATCCTTAGATGGTAGCTGTGGTCGTCCAAGCGAATGCGGGTGGTCAGGCGGCCAACCAAGAGGATGAATTGGGGGGTCCTTATGACGCTGAAGCCGGTGCAGCAGATGGTAATGCGGTGGATGGAGCACAGTGATGTCTTTATGGTTATTGCATTCTTCGTTTACATGTTATGAGTGATGGATGATAGTAGTTCATCGTGATGATTCATCACTGATGAAAGTAGATGTTGATACGTCACGGTGGCGTACGAGTTAGGCCAAGTCACTAGTGTATACCACTCAAGACTTGGCAGTGAATCATTCACAAGGCACCAAATATACGACTAGTCGAGAGCGTCAGAGAGCTGTTCCACAGCAACAGGCTGTTGCCAACAGCTAACCCTGACAAACACCCCAACCGCTGTACTACTAATTGACGTTGGAGAAGGAGTTGAGCACTGTCCTCAGCACACTCACTGAGTGTCTTCACTCAGACTCTGTGTCTCGGAGTGTCCTTTTGTCATCGATACTTCTAAGGTCGATTCGGACCGAACCACCACCCCATCAGAATCACGTGATCAAAAGTGAAATACTCAACTTCTAGTTTCCCACTAGCACTGAAGCCTTGATAGAGTTAAATACCAAATTGAAATCCAATTTTCACATTGAGACACTTTTTGTTAATCTCTGTCCAACTAAAACCTCCCAATTCCCTCTCCTGAGGAAAACCTTCCCCTCTCATATCATCAACTCAATACTATGGTATCAGGAAATAGCCTTGCTACTTGCACGTGGTGCGAATAATGAAGACATAGTTATGATTAATTTCCATCACCCAGCCACCGGTCGATCAGAGGCGTTCGCGTCACCTGAGTGACGGTCATGACGACTTCCACTTCCACAATGTCTACTATTCCGGCGGCCTTGCTCCTCCGCGTCCCGCATGAGGTTCTTCCACCCCTGCCTCTCATCAGAATCGTTCACGTACACTCCCATATACTCCCCTACACCATAACATGTAGTGGAGGCGAACCGAAAGGCCCTACCAACTTCAGCGAAGCCTACTATCTGACAGACGGTCTGCACGATGCGCTTGATACTGTCATCAGAGGTAAAGGCAACACTGCTCGGACCAGGGGCGGCGCCGCTCGGGGAGATGTCCCCCATAGACCCACTCTCAATGAGATCTCCTAGGATGCATCGAATTGGACGGCGGAGCGAAGCTGCTCATGGTTACGAGAATTATGACGGGATTCTACGAAGAGTTTGTGAATGTGGTCCTGGACAACTTGCAGTAGTCGGAATGTTCGAACTTCACAGTCTGAGAGTAGAGGAGACAAGTTTGTTTGATTCGGGGAAGGTGTGGTATGAGCTGCTGCTCTTTACCTTTACGATGTTGAGGTACTAAGTAATTCTTCAAGTTACGATTGAGCTTGTCGATGCACCTAGTGATAAGGACGCACAGCTGCCCTTTACGCTCATCCTCTCTTGACAACTCCAATAGAGCCTGAACGAAGGACCCGGGTTCGATCCCCAGCAGAGGTATATGAGCCCACTTTGTAGACTATCGTCGTCTCAGCGTTACTCATGGCTGTGACCACCGCCATGTTCGCCCGTTGCCAGTCCGCGTAGTGCTTATGACGGAACTCCCGATCAGAGAGCGACTGAAGGGAAGCCCCATCGTACAAAACCATCATCACTGATGTGATCCACCCACCACAAGGAGTGCCCTCAGGAAGGTCTTGATACTCTTAGACCTGACCACAGCATGACCATAAGCATCCAAACGATAGGAAGGTCCCTACGTGCATTCATCCAAGGCCGTTGCAGATGTCGCCAGAAAGTTGGCCAGGTCCAGCACTCGTTCTAACAGATAAACATCATACGCTGATTTCATTCGATGCCCCTCCCCACCAGAGTCCTTCACCTCCGCACCATGCCTCGCTATCAAGGTCAGCTCAACGGCGCATGCAGCAGCGTTTAGGAAGGCATCGCAGTGACGCAACATTTGCTGAGAGAAGTCTTTCCAAGGGCCAGAGCTGTCGTATTCATCACCCTAGGGTCCGACTCCCCCAACTCTTTGGTCTTCTTACACAAGTCTGCTATTGACACAGGGTGGCCTGAAGGGGGGTATAAAGACAAAAACCTAGGACCATACCAATGACCACCTCCTCTGAGCTGCTCCTCACAAACCAAGGCGAGCTCCTCTGCTGGGGTGGTAGAGGCGATGGACCAGTCACTTCCTGCATGGTGATGATGAGATCGACCCGAGGAAAGTAGTAGGAGGAGGAGCAGGAGGGACTCACCTCCCGAGACCCTCCCTGGATGAGGGGCCGGTGGGTACTCAGCTTCCCTTAGACTGGAGCAGCTCTCCATCATAGAGGATGCTACAGAGTGTTGCTGAGAGAACAAGCAACGATCAGTCGTATAGTACCAACCACGTGACCACACCTCCACTGGGATGACAGCGGTGCTCGACTCAGCAGACCTATTCTGTATGTCAACCAGAGAGCTCCCTCGCGAATCTTCTTGTGAGGCAACTACCCCGGGTACCTGGGACCATGAGGTCCCCAAGAGCCTCCCAGTTCGGGGGTCTCACAGGCTCCCGCATGGAAGGTGGTGGTGGCAGCCCCCTAGTCTTGGCCGTCACCATCCCCTGCTGCTTCGGTGTCGTCTTCATCTGAGCTGCATGGGGTGGTGGTGACACTATACCAGGAGTCACCAGCCTGGCCGGAGCCTCTGAGGGGAGAGCCGGAAGGGCCGGCGCCGATTGCAGGCATGCTGAGACGGGATCACCAAGTATACACTATCCCTTCTAGAAGCAGTACTTCCTCCAACTCTAGTGAGGGCCCTCCGGTGACCAGCAACAGGTCTGGCTATCCCGGAGGGGCCTCCTCCCATCCGCCTCCCTCCACTCGGACCTTGGATTCGTGACGGACCAGCACTGGTGTCCTCCGTTATAGAGCCTAGACCAGTGGTGATACGAAGGCACCCTTCCAAGTTCAACACTACAGTCGCCTCCTCCTCCTCCCCTCTCGAGAAGCCACTTGTCAAACTTGCCGTTAAGGGCGTTCCTGTGGTCCTGCTTCAACGGGAAGCCTACAGATAAGCACGGACACCTCTTCCAGGCCCCATACACCAGGACCCACCAGGCTCCATAAGGATCTCCCTCAGCCTAGGTATGGTCTCCTCGGTACCAGTACTCCTAACCTGAATCCAGGACTAGTCGACAGCAACGACTCAAGGAGGCATACGAAGTGGCCGATAGCAGTCTGCGCGAGCTCCCGTACAGCAGCGTCCTTGTCATTATACAGCGACATGAGTACTCTACCAACGTCCTTCACAGCCCTTCCGGTGGTCACCGTACCTTCAAACCAGGTACGGTGGTGGCACACGAGGATAGGGCCTACCCTGGTGCTGGGTGAGGACTCCAATGAGAAGCTCCAGGCAGTCTGCGACGGACTTCTTGTTCTTGCTGGTCTGGATGCAGTTGATTAGCATCGGGACCATCCCTCTGGCCGGGACCAGGGCCTCGGTATTGACGAAATGGATGGTGACCAAGTTCTTGATGTGGCTCCGAAAGGCTGCCATTTTGTGCCCCATTCGCTCCAACAAGGCAGGTATGAAGACGTTGCATTCCCGTTCAGTGAAGGGCCTGTGGTGACACTGGGGTGACACCAGAGATAGGCTCTCGCTGCCTGCCTGTTGACGGTGGGTAGGAGGGCATCCATTAGGTCCAGCATCGACTTCCACACTTGTGGGTTGTCCTTACATGTGCTGAGCAGCCAAGTACACCACTTCGCCACAAGGTCAAAGACCTAAACCGAGTTAGAGTGGGGAAAGGAGCCAGCCGGGGGAAACACCCACCTCATCTAGGAGGGGCTTCTCTCTATCGTCAACAGTACGGTAGAAGTCGGCCCAGAAATCAATGGCGATGACGAATTCCGCGAAGGCCCCTCGGGGCGCGAACATTTTCTCTGTGGAGGAACTGCTAGCCAGGAGAAGACGGAAGGAATGAAACCCACGGAGGAGTAGTGCACTGCAAGCATCCTGAGTATTCACACTCTGGTTCCACTGATGATGCAATGCCGACACCAACGCCTCTGGGATGTCCTCGACGGGCCTATACCCAACACCATATAGTGGTAGGCGACACCTTCCTATGCTACCCACCACATAGAGTGCCTCTCGTTGTGTTGTCTTCTGAGCCTGGACCCGGCAGCAGGGATAAGTTCAACACCTGATGACGACGATGTGCCCATGGAGGAACCCCTTTCCCCTACCCAAGGCAGCCCCTGCCTCTAGAGTACTGCTAGAGGAGGTGAGTGTAGCCTGCCTCAGTAAAGAGGACCCAGGAGCCCTGACCGACACCGTGGCCCACACGACGATCATCTACCACTCACCTCTGACTAGTAGTAGCAGTCGTGACGCCGGACCTGCGATAGAAAGTCGAGGGCAGGGGGGAAGAGGGAGCCCTACCTCCCTCGAGGACGAGACGTGGCCCTTGGTATTGCTGGTCTTGGTGCCATCATCCCTCGCCCTGTTCCCTTGCCACTAGTAGCGGCCCCCGTCTGAGCACACTGCTGTATGGCAGCCTTATGGAGGGACTTACCGGTGTGACAGCAGCGGGTGCCGACCCACAAGGTAGGGCCAATGGAGGCTCCACTGGTCTTCGTTGCATCTAGAAGAGGCCTCGACAAGAACCCCACCTGTCCCTCCTGCCTACCGCCCCTCTAGTGTTGATCCTATTGGCAGTTCCTCCTGGTGCCCTGATAGCCGGCACTCTAACTCGGCGGCTAGCAGTGGACTCCGCTGAGATCTCACGGACCCTCGAACCCTTCCCACTGGCCGGTGTGGAGCCCGTTCTCATCGTTGGTACGCCTGACCATGACAGCATCCCCCCCGTGGCCCTCAAGGGCTCTCTACTGGGCTTGGTAGTGGAGGCCGACATAGGAGTACTGACAACCTTGAGACACTTCATTCGCTCCTCGATGGCCTTTCGACGGGCCGCAGTCATCGTGTGCAGTTTAGTAAGGATCACCCCTTGCAAACTATCGTCTCTAGTGAGTATCTGAACGCTCCTGATAAGAGGCCCTAAGGACCAGGACCACGCCCACAAGGTCCCCTAGGGTGCAGGCGGCTTCCCGGACCGTCTTGTCGGACTCATCGAGACACGGCAAGAGTACAGTCTCCGCCATTGGTAGTAGCAGGTCCGCTGAGACGAACGGTAAAGCACGAGAGCATATGCCGAGCACCTTGCGGGCATGAAGTGTATCTTTCTACAGGCAACCTAAGATACCCCACCTCTCGCCTCCCTATGGGATTCTTGTCATTAATGACGCCTGCCAAGTCCTCGACCAGGCGATTGTCCAGCGACAACGACTGGTACTTCAACAGGGCGTCGATACACCCGATGGCCTGATGTAATTTCATGGCGCAGTGACGGAATCCCACGCCGACTAACCTGCCTCAGTACTCCTGCATTTTTCTCTTTGATCTTCGTGAGCATCGTCAACAACAGCATCCTACTGTGAGGCATCTCCCCTCGGAGCCCATTGGCCACCGCACACAGTGCACTGCGGCAAGGCCCATGACCATCCCTACAGGGACGTGCGCCCACCTGCACGCCTCTGTCGCCACCGGTATGTTCTGGTCCAGCTTGACAACCTTCATCAGGCACTGCACTACACTAGACGCCGAGTCCCCCAGGACCTGCCAGGCTGGACTGACCGGACCTTGAGGCCCACAGGAGCAGCAGCAGCAGTTACCATTTTCTTGTGCTTCTTAGCAAGGGCCGTCAGTTGGCCGATGGCGTCCCTCTTTTCTACCCACTTGGTCGCGGAGGTGACCTGTGAGACCTGAGGGGCCATCCACGAGGGTCGACATCAGAGAGGCCCTACAAAGTCCTTAGGGAGCATCTTAAAGATGTCCTGCGGCTGTAACATGTCGTACGCAGCATCTTCAGTCGACTGAGCGACGGCCCCCGGGCTCACAGCACCCGTCGCACCTGGCATGCCTCTACAGCGGAGCGAAGCAGCGTCGGCTTTTTTCACCTTCTGCCGGTAGCTTGACCCCAAAGGCAAACCTCGTTGGAGTTTCTGAGGGAACCACTGGGCGGCGAGGAAGAGGAGGAAGAAGGAGGGTTTACTTGGTTGGCATTCTCCCAACCTCTCACAGCGAGTCTTGAACTCCTTCATTTGATTATCCGCCAAACCATTGCCACAGGCCTCGACGTCGGGCAGCCACTGGTACAACTCAACCAAGAGAGTGTATCTAGGGGGGATCTTGGAAGGGCCAGATGGACGTGACCAAGTACCCCGCCTCTTTCACGCCTCTGTCAGTGCTCCCACATGCCTCAACACCCAAGCTGAGGAACTCCTTCGGGGGTATCACAGTCGTCTACATAAGATCATAATGGCCACTAGCAGCAGGTCCCTCACCCCAAAGGCCTCGAGGAGGCTAGTAAGAGCAGCGAGGCATCCAGAGAGCTGTTTGTTGGTGACCCCTTTAGCTGGCATCTTCTTCCCCTTAGGCGGCTTCAACAGACCCTTGGCATGCCCACATACACCTTCCATCACCTCCTAACACCACCAGGTCAAACCAACACTAGCTACTCCGTCACCTTCGACAGGCCCTCCTGCCCTTCGATCGCCTTCGCCAAGCACTCCACACCGAAGCCCTGAATTTTCTGGTTGCCCGATATGTATTTCTCCAGAAGTCCAGCAAGGAAGGGCCCAAGGTTGAAGTTACTAGCCCCAGTACACGCCTAATAAGAATACCATAAGCTTGCAGGCGTGGTCCATGGCTGCCCACCGCAATAGCCTTGCATGCCCCCTCCTGGCTGCGGGGGTTGGTCTCGCTGGTCACCACCGATGCACTCATCAACAGCAACTCCACGGTAGCGACCTTCTCCTTCTCTTCCGTATTATCAGCAGCTAAGGTTCGGTCTATCTCCGTGTAAGCACTGAAGAGAATACACTCCAAAATAACGGCGCGCGCCACAAAATTAATAGTAGGACCTGAGCCTAACCTGCCACCTCTTGTCCTTCAGTCGCTCTTCCAAAGGTATACCGCTATAGTCTGGCTCCTCCTCCTCTAGGTCTGGAGGTATACCCCCACCCTGCGTGGTCAATGGTTGGGGAAAAGTGCCCATATGCGGTCCTACAACGGCATGCCGTACAAACTACAACCACCACCCCGACCCCTCTCTACCCTCTGCCATGGCCTTAGACGACTTCACTGGGGAGTTCTGTTTCGACGGCGGAGGGGTAATGACAGGGACATCTCCCATCACAGCCGAAGGCTAAGGGGACGACCTCGCGGCAACAGTCGACGACGCCCTCTGGTACCTTTGGAGTGGGGATCCTCACACTTCGCGGGGTCTCATCTTTCAGGACCACTTCCTCGACGACAGTCACAGTACTTGGCATGACCTGAGACCATAAGTGTCAACGGCAGCATCCTAGTCCCAAGGGCCTACAGGGGTCTCGCAGCTGTCCACCACTGGAGCCGCCCTCTCCTCTACCGGTGCCACCGGAGTGACAGCCGCCGCAGGTGTCGAGTTCCTCCTTGCCGATTTCTACCAAGTTCAAGTCCCTAGGCCCCCTCTCCCTCCACCATACCTTGCTCGTGGACTGCCTCCTTGACCTCTGACTACCCCTGCTACTGCTAGGGGTCCTCTTCACCATCGGCGTCTGCTGGTCCTGTCTCGGGGTGGCCGCCACCGGTAGGGCCACACTTCCCTCGACAGACTCCAGAGACGCCTCCTGCTTCCCAGAGGCAACCACCACAGGAGCCTCCTCCTCTTCAACGTCCATCAACTCTGCATGGTCTGAGAACAGTACTCTAGTGTACCCACCAAGGGCCCAGGGACACACATGGGCATCACTATAATACAAATATATCGGTAAGGCCATGATGATACATTCTATTATAATAGAAATTAATATGCTACTCGATGAACCATTTTATATATCACTATGTTATTGTATATAGTTGTCATATTGTATAACTACCTTTCTCGTTGTTGCCCTCGACTACCCCTCCTCCCCCAGATGGTTGTCCCGCTGGTGCCACCTCCGAGTCGACCACGCCCGTCTTGGTATTTTCGCTTTGATCCCCTCCTCCCATATCCTCCTCCTCCTCTGGACCAGCAAAGGGGGTGGCCCAATCTTGATTATGTGATGATGTGCATGACACTTCAACCTCCTGAGGACCCAGCCCTACCCAGGCACCAGCAGCATCAGAGGCCCCACCCTCTCAGGTGTCCTTTCCTCCGCCACAGGTCCACTCTGCGGCACTTCACCCTGCTTGGTCGTTTCCTATGACTGCATAAGGAACGACTACTCTGACCATGGCATCACCTCGCAGACTTCGACAGTAACAGTACTGGTCTCCTCCACCTCTTCGATGTCTGCGCTCACTATCGCTTCCTACACAGGAGCCAGCCCGTCACAGTACAAACCCCACTCCTGGCCCCACCCTCCAACTGCGGACTTTGATCCCGAATCGACCCTCTGCTACTCCCTTGACTTGTTTCAGAAAGGCGGCGCCTACAGGAAGGTCCAATACTCCATCCGTTAGAACAGGTGGCCAACATCGACACTACTAGGACGGATCGTTGCACCTCGCAGTTGGTGACCCTCCCCCAATAGTAAAAGAAAATATGCATATGGTTGGTGATGATATGAAAATTCTGAAAAAAATCGCGGATTCTGTACACTTCTACCAGATTTCGTATGTAAACTTATATATTATTAGTGACGACAATCTTGAGATCAGCTGAGGAAAGCGAAACCCACATACTCCGGCACTGCTCCTTCCTCCGACCCCACTCGAAGAGTGCTGGAAAAAAATTTTCACTTTCCTCACCTGAGCTCAATACTTTCCTCACCTATTATAGGAGTTTATATACGAATTGGAATACTATACGATAAGTGTGCAGAAACTAACAAAAATTTTCCAAAATTTTCTTAGAGTTTTCATATCGTCACCAACACATGTGGTTGACCATGTGCATTTTTTCACCACACTGCCACTCACTGGTATTGTCATCACTGTCGTCACCCTTAGCAGTAGGTTTGGCCCTCTCGCTTAGCACAGGCTGCAACGGCGGCCTTCTGACCCTCTTCTTTATAGTGCTTTCGAAGTTGCGGACCAAGTCCATAACAGAGCTCCCACGGACCCTATCCTCCCTTTCAACTGGTGTCCCACTATGACTGTGCCTCCGCTGAGAACTTCCCCTTCCATTAACCCCTGGGGAGGCCCTCGAGGGCGTCCTCAGAACTTCTTTCAAAGAATCACCTGACCAACGATGGGTTCTCATGCCCAACGGCAAGTACTACCAGTAGCGACTTGAATGCTACCATCCTCAGTACTATTAGCAGCCCCTGAGGCGTTCTCGTCCAGCCCTGCCACTGCCCCTGCCACACACCCCTCAGCAGCAGCAGGAGGAGGAGGGGGAGGCAGGCCAGATGATGATAATGTTGAATCCATCGATCTATAAAGACCAACCTCACAGCCTCCCGATTTACGGCGGCAAACCCAAAACGGCGTAACATGTAACAAGAAACGTTGACACTCTAGAGAGAGGGTAGGGCCTCTCTCTATGATAGAAATCGATCACCATGGCGTGCGCGGTTGTTATCGTCATCATTACACTGCACGGTTAGGATCTGGCCTGTCGGCTGGTAATATACTAGGCATTGCAGTGGTCGGTTGTCCCAGTCTGCGTGTCTGTATCTCAGGCTGCAAGTCTTCGTACTCATCGGGGATCTACCAGGAAAGGAATCTTACCACGCACCATGTAAGATACGGAATAGGTCACCTCTGACTGAGTCGGACCGAATAGATACGTCAACGTAATTTCGTCCACTTGGTCCATCCTTCGATCGTCCATAATGTCAGGGTCGATGAAAAAGAACACAGGCATGTCCACCTCCTACACGATGAGGTCCATCACAGCCAACACGCTGCTGTAGCCGCCCCACCTCGTGAGGTCCGAGCAATTGCTCATCGAAACAAAAGCATTGTATTTTGTTGAAGTAGAGCCCAGCTTCTAGTGGCAGCATGTGATACGTAGACATTCCTAAGAAAAGTTACAAGGGAAAATTCCCAGCAACTTCAAAGTGCCTTGCAGGGGTGACTGCCGTTACTACCTATGATGGGCTTATTGGTCCTATTCTTAGCTCGGAAGAATGCCAAGGCCGTCTCGCCAGGAGTGACCTAAGGTGGGCAGGATGAAGCTGCTGGTGATTATGATCCTTGTAAAAGCGAGCAGTGCAGGAAAATATGGCGACAATATGGAAACTCTGAGGAAATTTTGGGAAACCTCGTTGGTTTCTGGACATTTCTACCCGAATTCGTAACGTAAATTTCTATAGTTAGTGAGGAAACTCCTGAGCTCAACTGAGCAAAGTCGTTCACATGTTCCCTTAGCACTGCACACAGATCAGCTACCGTAAAACGTTCCAAGATGTCCCAAGCCTACATAGACTGATCGTTGCTCCGGATAGAAGTCCCACTTCAATGTGCTCTGAACAGCACCAGCGAAAGTGATTTTGATAACTCTGACCACGACATCGTTCCCTAGTCCGCGACCAAGACCCACCTCTTGCTCGCCTCACCCTCCTTAGGAGGCGGCTTGTATTCTTTATGCCCTACTGTTGCAAACTGATAGAAAAAAGGAAGACTAAGGAGCGTCGGGGAGTCGGAGAGCCTCACCCCTCCAGTGGACCCTTGCCCTGTGGACTTGCAATACATGTCGTATAGTGGTACGGCTACAAAACACATACCAAACATAAATACCTACGGAAGGGAGGGCCTGGGGGCAGCCGGAAGGAACACCATCTCCTAGTGGCTGAGCCGTGTTGGGATAGATGCTCGCTCACCTCAGCTGAGTCTGGGATTTCCCATAGCAATAATAAAATTCGCATAGAAATGTACAGAAACCACCTAAAATTTCCTCAGAATTTCCATGTTGTCACCAACACATGTCCTCAACCATGTGCGTATGCCCAATGTGCATTCGAAGAGATATCCGTCATTCATTTCCACTCCGAGTAAACTACACATCTAATGAGCTACAAATCATAGAGGCATTTTTTCTCGATAATTTCAAACGGAATTAACCACAGCTGGCCATAGAAACATCGAGGTCAACGGATCAAGAGAGTTTACTCACGCCCGACGACAGCCATAGGAAGGACGTATTCACACTCCTGGTTCGCTTATCCGTCTCCTTCTTAACCTGAATGGGCAACCATCGACCAACCACCCTAGAGAGGGGCCTCCTCCACCCGTTACCTTGCCGTACAACCAGCTGCCGCTACCTCCATCAGGGGCATACTTTCGCCACCGACCAGAACCGTGTATACGAGAAGTCACCGGCTGTGTTGTGAAGAGCCTCATCACCACTAAAGAAGGCCGCATCTAACAGGAGAGTACTGCACAAGAATGGGAAAGGCTTAGTGGTGAGCTACTGAGTGCCTTGCCGCCTCAAACGCCTTCGACCTATACGATAGAAGGCGCCTCATGATCCAACCTGATTTGCGGAAGGAGTGGTATGGCACACACTGGTAGTACTGAACTGAACTCAAGACGCTTGCATTGATAAGAGCCTCTCGAGGAGGTGGGACATCGTCATAACGCGGAGACTAACACTACGATACCGCTCATAAAAACTTCAACGCCTATATCATCATATCGTCGTGCAAGAGAAGACTTTACACAGTTCACTATTACCACGGTCGGACGATACAGGAGGATATTATTGGGCTTCCTCCTCCACAAACGAGGAGGAGGAGACTTCCAGTTGGAATGGTAGAAGCGAGCACAGCTTGAAAAAAATTGTAAGCCCCGAGTGTCCCGAGGCATATAAGAATTATGAGATTAGATAGGAAGAATATGATATAAATGATAGCGTCCACTCTACCTACTAGCAAGAAGTGGCCAAGGAACATTCAATGGACATTTCTGTGGAAAGGAAATGAGTGGTTCACTACACGCCTTGAGACCAATGACGTGAGTGGCAGGTGAGAGCTAGTACAAAAAACACCAGCAGAAGTGACAAGAAGGCCAACTGCTGCTGTTGCTAGACGACAGATAGAGAATATTACTACTACGACAACAACATGTCTTTAACCGTGGCGACCATCACCGGTGTAGCAAGCAGACCAGACAGAGACTAGTCTCGAATGAGTCATTTGAGAAATCGAGTTATACAATACATAGTTCTGAAATTGAATTTTATGATGATGACGATATAGTAACTATGAAGGTATCATGAGAATAGCTCCGGCGTAATGGGCTCGTTGACGATGTAGCATCTTCGGTAGGGCCCTACAGCAACCATCACGATGAGGCAATCTTATCATACTAAAACGGAGCGACGAAAAAACCAATGCAAGTAGTAGACAAAGTCGTCATTCGATGACCAATAGGATCATCCCAAACAGCTTCGCTCCGTCGAGTAACAGTTTATAGAGGAGCACTTCGCAAACAGACACAGCGTCAGACCGTGACGTTGATACAATAAAAAAAAATCTTCATAATACAACAGTTTTCAGAGGCCACCAACAACAATCTCTATCTACCGTGGGGAGCTAAGAATAGGTCCCCAGAAGGGTATTCCTTATGTAGATAGGACGGCCCTACAGTCGGTAACAGCATCAGCAACAACAGCATCGTAATAATCGTACACTAAGAGGTACCGAATGCTCTACGTTGCTGCACTTGTGGTAGGGGACTCTGACTACAAACTGAATAATCATGACCACTGCCCTAAGAAGGGCAGTAGGAAGGAGCAGTAGCTGGCCCCAGCGGACGGTGGGTCGAATAGACGATAGAATGTCAACAATACTGGCATTACTACTGCTACTAGTATAAACATGGTGGCAGTACCCACTGAGAAGTGAAGATGGTGTGGTAAGCAACCGAGTGCATGCACCAAAGCAGAGCTCCAGCTTGACCACCATCATACTAGGGACAATACACATGCATCAGCGAATCTTAGAAGGCATACACTCCTCTAGCCACAGCTCTCGTGGCCGTCTCCTCAGCCAACTTCTCTGCTCGCTTCTCATTCGAAGCACCGTCATAATCCGCTGTCTTTCCCAGAGACACCGAAAGGAGGCGTTCGTCATCAAAAGTATATTCAACTTGCTGTGGACGGAAGTGAACACTAGATGGGCGGAAGTCCTCCTCCATATCCTCGTAGAAGTCTCCATACAGCGAGGCCACTGTTGAACATAGCGAAACTGACGAGGCAAAATGCTCCTTATTCGACTCTGCTAGCTGCAACGAATCTGATACAAAAAGTGTAAAACTGCGCTCAAGTCCAGGCTAGCCTCATCTTACCCGTCGTGAGCTCATTCTGATTTAACACCATATCAAGATTCGGAAGTTGTTCCTTCTTGAGAATACTCCTTTTAGGAGCCACCAACTTCGCTGCTGAATGCCCTCTACTCAGCCGATAACTACTACTCGACCGGACAGGCTTATCCGGAAGGGCCGTACAACTGCGGGAGAAACGTAACCACGACAACGAGAGAAGACCACACGTACCACCCACGCACAACTGGTCTGAAGCATCCAAATACACGGGAGAGCATAAGCTACCAATAGTATTAAAATAACTACATAAACAACGTAACGAGCCCACCAACTGAACCATGAGGAAAAGCGCAGAATCTTTAAAGATGCGCGTAGTTAGGAGAGAATCCGCTAACTACACGTGAAGGGGACAGGTCTGACACAATGATACGAAACAGGTCAGCAACACGACAGTGGTGATCTAACGTGAAATGAAAAAGAGGGCGGTTTTCACCGTTGCTATTGGATGACGAGTTATAATGGTATAAACCAGATAAGTGATGTTAATACATTTACTACCACAACACTTTCACCAAGGGTAAAAAATCATATGCACAGCCGTGAAGAATTGTGGCCTTCCTAAGAGCCGTTGACATGATGAGTGCCCAGGGACGCAATAAGACTCTTGGGAGCATCTCGAGCACTAGGCAAGCGATGAAAATGCGGATGGTCATCCAATACATCAGTGCGGCTCCTATAAAGGCGTCTTACCTCCTCCAGAGGGCTCTCACTGTCGAATGAGCAAAACGACACCGACTCTTGAAAATGTACTGTGGGCGTCGCCTGCATCGACTTACTCCGTGGCTTAGTCTTCAACGCCATCAGCTCAGTCTTACCCATACTGGTCTCATCAGCTGATGGGAAATGGGCCCTTCCTTCTGAGAAAGTAACCACCTATCCAACCACACGGTCTACCGTCACCTTACTCCACCTAGGCCCCTTTTTGACCTCCTGCCCTTGAGGGTCCTCAGCCTCTCTAGTGTCAAACGATGTATCAGGACAGTCTGGTTCATGGGCAGGCCGAGTACCTCCCTCATCCTCCTTACTCGGAGAGTGTGCTACCTTACCAGGAGCACTCTCCTCGACAGTCGTCGTTCCTTCCACTGCGCTAGACGATTTGTTAACCGCAGATGTCATTGAGATTGAAACTAATTCGCATTGGGATCCCTCCCTACAATTCTCCCCCCACCGTCGCGAAGGCGCTACTACGGACCATCTACGCGATCAACCGGCTTACCAAATCTACACCCCGATGATACTACAAGTCGAAATCGAGACAATCCCAGGCACATGAGAGGCCAAAGATGACCAAAAGTTGGTATGCACAGTCATAGGAGAGCACAACAATAACCATTAACGCGTCACCGCGAGTCAACATCCGAACACTCCACAGAGACACTCAGCAATTCCAAACCGCACCAGCTGGTATACTTTTATGAACATGGCAATGTGCTAGGCTTATGCAAGACATAACTCGTTATATTAAATTGATTAATACGACTCTAATACCCGCAACAAGCGTTTCCACCTTCGCGATTGACTCTTACCCTGCCGGCCACATCCTACTCTAGTGAGAATCGAGCAACGTATCACCTGAGCCTCCCTAGTCGCCCTTCGCTGAGTACACAACGCAAAGCCATAACGGGATGAGGCTACTTCATGATAATAACTATACTAATGACAGAACGGAATGAAGCGTAACTGAGGACCATATCGGATAAGAAGTAGACTACTACTTATCCGATATGGTGACTATTACTATTACTATTAGCGGATACGTACTACTAGTAGTACGAGTGGTGACACCAGATGAAGAGTCAACAACATGGGAACAATTCTACCACCGCCTAAGCACCACAGACCTACCACGTAAAGAGGAAGACCTTCAGCTACTCCACTCCGGTGTTAGTTTTAACGTAGCAACTCCCCGGATGCATTAGTCGATTTCTAAATGACAAAATTCAGAGGATAACTTTGACATTCCAAAATTGAATTGTTAAAGATACAGAATAACACTGATTACTTCCCATCACGTCGACTCGGACGAGGAAGCCCTTGAAGGGCACCTCAATGGTCTTAAGGCCATCGACAAGACCGAAGACGATGTTCGCAAAAGATGGTATTCAGCGATGGTGTACTCAACTCAACGGCCAGGTACTTCGAGATGACAGAACTGTTTTCAAACTGCCTTATAGTACGATACCTAGGAGCTATACATATGCAAGGGCATCACGATTGAACGCTCGTGTTGGACTACACTTCCCGAACGACGACAGATGCCTTGCGGTGAAGTAAAAAGTAGCGTCACATACGACGCACAAGCACTCACCTAAAGTCAATGCAAAATTAGCACAGATCGATAAGGGCACTCGACGCGCCCAATGAGATAGTTGATTTGAAAAGTCTGTGTAGGTTACAAAGAAGCTCACTCCAGGAAAATCTGATGATGAATGTTGGCCTAACAACAACAACACCATCTGAGAGAGATCCCTGTCGGCAAGGCCCTGAGCATTATACCCAAACGACCAAGGGGAAGGAGTGACGCTTCTTAGTAAACCACCACTATACAATAGAGAGAGACGATGTAAAGACCAACACTTTAATTGCTCCTCCTCAGTTGTCAAAGCCACATGCCGTACTGTGGGACAAAGGAAACAACACCTCAGCGGCTCATTTGGTGACCATAACACTGGGAAACTTTATAATGTGGGAGTAAACACCAACAGCATAGATACCCAAATAGTCATATAAACTGTGTACAAAGGACTATGAAGAGAACTCCTGCGTTGTTTAGTTCACCACACAGCAAGCCTTCCTTTCAATGGCGTCTGATACCATACTTCGACTTCTTCTCAAGGAAGCCACCTCAAGACAGTTCAAAGGCCTCAGTGTAGCATCAACACACTTACGCCTAGTAGCTTCTGGATAGCGACGACCTCTCAACACGGCATGGGTTTGATACCGTCCTTGGAGTGCGCGCTTCACTGGTCTCGTGTTACGCGTACAGCTCCTCAGAGGCACGGCTCGCTGGGTACCTTTATCTACCCCTTCCACCGTATCAGCCGGGCTGTATTCAATCATATTGACGACCTCTCTGAAAGTGACCATCCTCAATGGTCTTTCTCCCAAGATAGAAGACCTCGAATGACATCGACAACTCGAATCAGTAGAAACACTCCGAATGTCGTCGTCATCATAATCTAACAAGAACCATCAGGCGGCTCACCTGACACGCTACCCCTACTCTCGGTCTTCTTGGAAAACTCTATCCGACTCTGTCCACCTCCCATCGTCGACTCCGACACCGTACTAGGCTGTTGGTGACCACGACCGCCTTTGAACATGTATAGTAGTGCCGTGAAGCACCCAGCCTGATGCTGTTGCTGCCTACCGCTCCTCAGCATATCAGGCGCCCTCCAACTGATCTACCACAACGACCAGTAATCTCCTTACGTCATCCCCAATACACTGCCAACGACAACCCCACATCTTTTCTTGTGGAAACACGGAATAAAACAGGCCCATATACGCCGTGCGCACAGGGTAATAATTATTGGGCGCGCGCTTTTTACATTGAAGGTACATCCCTGGGCGAGCGAGAAATGCCGCGCACTTACTAGTAAAGTAATACTAGCAGTTCTTCCTTGAATTCGTTTATGCAGGTGCGAACATCATTCCAACTGCTGTTCCTCATCCTTCGTTGAAGTTGATATGATACTCCACTCATCGGCTGATGATTGTTGGTTCTAATTCACTTTCCCTGCAGGTCGCTCGCGTCCATCTACGCGAGCGTTTCAGAAGTTGACTTCATCCGTATCATCTTATTTTCGAACCCGTATGTGACCTCTGTTGACCTTCCGAGTAGCGTAATGCCCGCATTGGAGTCGAGCTATACGCAGATGATTTCCATCGAGCCCTTCTGAAATCGTTGGGTTGAGTGGTCAATTGCTATCCCTAGCGTACACTGCCTCCATACATGTCAACTATCATTGACAACAACACCCCTCTGAGTGTCAGTCGAAGGGCCTCTAACACCACTGTCTACTACAACTATGAGGATCCTAAGAAGGCCGCCAACTGCTCAGGGACCCTCTACCCTCCCCCCAAGCCTCCTTCTGGTCACATCGCTGGTCTCCCCTCCGCTGGGCACCGCTCTACTCCTTCCAACACCTCAGCTGCTGTATCAGAGCACTTTCACCATGGAGGTAGGACGTACTTCGACCCCCTTGGGCCCAAGACTAGGGCATCCCTCCTCAGGGTCTAGCACTATGCCTGGCACCCCCAACCTGGCGGCGAGCACCAACAGCAGCTGTATAAGCCCCTGTGTACAGGCCTCTCAACTTCCACAAGGCTCCACGGTTGAATACTATAGTCAATCCCTAGGTAGGAGCCCCTGCTACTACCCCTCATACAAGGTGATCGTAAACAGGTCGTTGGATCCCTGCGAAGGTGATGTCGGTGATCCCTCCTGATGACCCTCGAGCTGGTGGCAGCAAGGTCGGCCTCGTCCATCTAGACTGCAAACCCATGGCTAGAGTTGAGCAGGTCGTAGTGGTGCTTGCCTCTCATAGGACCACACTGTCCCATGGTCAGGTTCGCTATGCTGGCCCCCCGGCTGGGATGCCTCTCTACTCTGGTGGCCCTTTGTCGTCGGCGCCGACCCCCAACTTCATCGACGTCCCGGCCGCCTTCTCGATGTTCAACTCCTCTTCTCCCCCATCCTTCATCCCAGGGCCGTCAGTTGGCCCTCCAACTGTGCGGGTCATGAGGACCACTACTATTCCCACCGCCTACCGCCGTTCTTCGTACATTACTAAGACCACCAGTATGGCCTTCAAGAACCCCGGCAAAGCTGTCCAACTGTAGGGGTCTCGACACCATCATGTGCTGGGCCTTACTACTATCCTCAGGATCTCGTTTGACGGCGATAAGCTCGTTGTGAACCCCGAGGCCCTTGCCCTCCTGGAGGCCCTCGGGCACGACAAGCAAGTGAGTGTCGTGACAGTAGTTGGTATGTACCGGACGGGTAAGAGCTACCTCCTCAACAGGCTCGTCAGAGGTAAGTCAACTGCCTTGTAGCCCTGGCCCTCTACTTAACCCAGGTCCTGGTGGCTCCACCACTGTTAATGAGGACCCACAGAAGGAGAATAAGCTTCTGAACAAGTTGTTGAAACTGGGCAGGAAGAAAAATGATGCCGTGAATCGACCTACTCCGGTTGTCTTCGAGACGGGCAACGAAGTGAATGCCTGCACCCAAGGCATATGGATGTACATCTGCGAGGAGGAGCTCAATGACAAGGTCGTCATCTTCCTTGACTGTGAGGGTTTGGGCTCTACTGGTCGAGACAAGGCTTATGACACTAAGCTCATGGCCATGGCCCTCCTTATGAGCAGCGTATTTATATATAACTCTAAGGTGAGTGTGTGTGGTTGGTATGTTGTCATGAGGCCCCTTAGGGTTGCCTGGACGAGGCGGCGTTCAACGGTCTATCGCTTGTATGCGAGCACGCTACGCAGCTCATTAGGGAGTTCCATACTGAGTTCGGTGGAGCGGCACCGGAGGGCGTCTTGTCTGCGTCCTTCCTGTGGATCCTGAGAGACTTCGTATTGGCATTAGAGAACGAGAGTAAGAGTAGTCTCAGTAGCCCATTAGCTAGTGGAGTAACGGTCATGATGAGCGTTTGTCATGCGAACGTGCCGGGTTCGATCCTCGGCAATGACATCTCACTCCTTGTCAGATGGTGAGGCGATAAGCTCGTCGGAGTATCTTGAAAATGCCCTGAGGTCTAAGGGCAATAAAGATATATCCAAAGCGATCCTAGAGTGCTTCATGGACAGGGATTGTTACACACTGGTAACACCACATAGTCGAGGAGGGTCTTCTGTTGTGGGTGCAGATTCAACCTACGGTCAATGAAGACAACCTCCAGAAGTTGGATACGATTCCTGATGGCAAATTGAGGAAGGAATTCATCGACCAAGTCCAGTCCCTGTGTGGTAAAGTATGGACTATGGCTGCCTCGAGAGCTGTGACTATAAACAAGTATGGAGGAGGGACTCCCTTCACCCCAGTTGCATTGGCGGCTTACATTAGAAAAGTGGGTCGGGGTCCAATCTGGGTGGGTTGTTGAGGGCCCCTCCTCAGTTGGCTGAGCATGTGTCTAGCTCCTCTACCCTGGCGGGCTTCAGTCTCTCGTCAACTTGGGTTCAAGTCCAGCACGAGGCACTGGCCTCCTTGATCGATTGTAAAACGACCACTACCATGAGTGCTGAGTTGTTGTTTCAGCTCTGAGCCTGGCACATGGGGGAGAGGTGGATGCTATGGTCGCTGAGCTGCCCATGGCAACTCGCGAGCTGGATGATCGACTGGCTGCAGCGTTGAGAAGGGTGGAGATTGAGTATAGGAGGAAGGCCCTTGGTGAGCAAAGAAGCGTTCTGAGTCAACAACTGGGATATCTTCCAGGGGAGGAGTCTGATCAACTTTACCAGCAGTATCTCGACGAGCTCATCCAAGGGGCGAAGGCTCAAGAAGGAAGGGTGTATCCCCTAAATGATGATAAGTGGGTATAGGCGCCGTCTAGTGTATCGATCACGGTTTATGGGTAGGGCTCGGACCTCTGCTGAAGAAGTGGCAATGAGGCTCGCTGATGAGGTTATGCCAGAGTTGGTACCGGGATGGCCCTCGGAGGAGGGCGACTTGGACATGGTCTTGTCGGAGTCAGCCAAGCGGTTGACGGAGAAGTTACGATGGGTGTTGGAGGAAATCATGACCACCACTCGAGGGCCGAGGGGTGCGAGGCTCATGGTCGCCGCTCACAAGGTGGGTCTATTGCTGATTTATTCTATGATACCACTCCTTGGTCAGATCATCGAGATAAGTGGCCTCTTTGTGACTGAGTTGGACAGGAAGGCGGAAGGCATTTCCCATAATGAGCACCTCACTAGGCAGCAGAGGGACGAGGCTCTCGCTGGTATCGATAAGCTCAAGAAGACCGCATTGACGGTAGGGGCTTGGCTGGGATGAGTACGTCGATCGAGTTGGGTTCAGGACTTGACAGCCAAGGTGGCCGAGCTGGAGGAGGAGCTGACTAGGCGGGACAGGAGGGAGAAGGAGCTGTTGGGCCAAGTCGAGGGGAAGGACAGTGAAATGGGGAGGCTGGCTGATAGTGTCAGAAGTAAGGGTCGTGGTTGAGTATGATGGGGAAAAATCTTCACTGTGCGTCGGAAGATACTCTGAGCGAGAGGGAGTCTCAATTGAATGAGAATTGGGAGGGCAAGGTGGAAGGGCTTGAGAAGCAAGTGGAGCAGCTGATCAGAGAAAAGGAAGAGTTGGAGGACGCTCTAGCGAGTACGGAGGAGAGGAGAAGGGAGGCTCAGGACGGACAGGTGACTACCATGCGAAAGGTCGTGGGTTCGATCCTCAGCAGGGTTATTTTCAGGTTGATTTTGAATCCACCAAGAACAATGAGATCGATATGCTCACTGAGACCCTCATTGACAAAACAGGGTATCCATTAATCATTTCAAGTCCCCAGCTTTAACTTCAGGGAGATCGCACGCCTGAACGAGGAGTTGGAGAAAGCCCGAGCAGAGCTAGGAAACGCTGAGACTGCCGTAAAGGAGGCTGAGCTTGCCCTCTTCACGAACGCTCGAGACATGGCTGCTGATCATGACAAGAACATTGCTGAGTGGAGGGAGAAAGTGGAGCAGCTGGAGGCTGAAAATGTGGAAGTCCAGGCCAGGCTTCGAGAAGAGGTGGAGGGTCGCGAAAAGGCCATCAGGGTCGTGTATGAGGAGAAGGCAGCGGCTACTGAGGTAGGTTATGGCAGCAGCCCGGGCGATTAAGGTGTTTGATTATGATTAGGCGGCACATGAGGCGATGACTAGGCTGAGGGAGGAGATCAAGGAGCTGAAGGATAGAGTCGCTAGAGGCGGAGGGCCACGGTCTAAGCGCAAGTGCTTGCCGTTTTGTCGATGATAATTAAATTAGTATCTTGAGGTTGAGCATGCAAGATGCAAAATTGGTCGTAGTTGATGATAAGTTGTGACAGTAGGGTGAAGTTTATTATTCCTGTAAGGATATTGTCCAGATCATTCACTCATTACGTACCGCTGCGTCGGCCTCCTCTGGCGCATAGGCGGTTAGTAATACTAGTAGTATGCACGCTCTGGTCCAAGAAGTAGTCGTCATGTTCACAATGTCTTTCCAACCTCTCATGCTCCTTGCGTTGAGTCTTCACTTGTGATGCCTCATTAGCAGGAAGGCGACACGTTGCTGCCAGGCATCGGATATTTCGAGTTCGTTGCCTTCCACAGGCTTCTATCTTGCCCGCTTACTGACCTCCGCAGTGGCCATAATTACTCGGCGCATTGAGAGTAGAGCGATTAGGCTCAAGCTTCTTCCTCGCTCCCTCCTGAACAGCCTCGCTGTCGGCACGTCGATGTTGACGCTTGATAACTCTGTCCAGGAAGTTTCCGTTCTATAGCTCACAGTAATGTGTAACAATAGTATTGGCGCCTGGTCAAAAATCAGATTGGCGTGGTATGAAAAGTTCTATAAAAATGCGCACGCCGAAGTCGCCTCAAGGTCGGCAAATTGCCATCTGACGAACATGAATATCCGAATTAACACCAAATCCCTTATATCTGATTGTCGCAGAATACGCTCGAAGATCTTGTCATGATATCGCATTTCACTCACACTACGATGACTTCATTTTCTTCACATCGCGATTTCCGATTCTTCGGTCGATGATCCACGTTCAATGCTGATGCGTTGCGCAGTATTAGTACTCTCATAAGAGATAACAGTAGTGCTGTTCGCTAGAAAACGCAACGACGAGAAGTCGATGGTATTAACCATAGCATGAAAAGTAGAACTATAAACTAACACGTGGAACAAATCGGTGATTGAGGCAACTACAACTTGGAGGACGGGACCACCTGAAGGGCAGAATCATTTCAGGAATGCAAAGCACGTTACTCTGGCGCCCAATCTCTCCTTGATGATTGCCTCCGCCTCTGAGACGATGGTATCTAGCAGCTCTTGGCACGAGGGAACCTGAGAAGGAAGCCGATTGGGAGTGATGGGGAATCATACATTTCATCTTACTCCGTCAATGAGGCCAATAATCTGACCACAACTCCAGACACTGTCGGTGGAGTCCCCAGTCTCTTGAAAACTCTTCTTATAGTTGTCGCCCTTTATGTAAGGACGGATCGCTTCGATATTTCCTGGCTTCTCCTTCTCTATACTTTGCACCTGGGCAAAAGTCTATGGATGGCCACCAGCTGAGGACTGCCTGCCTTCCTTGACGTCTCGTTGACGTAGACTCTCTCAGTGTTCTTGAGTGTGCGCAAAACGAGAGTGGTGCTCTTCTCATCAGCCTTCACAAGGGCGTCTTTGATCCCCGGCTGTATCGGAGCTTCCGTAGTGGCCATAAACCTATTGCGACGTTGAATGATGGTAGGGTGGGAGCGCCTCACCTAGTGCCCATGTTCATGCCCTCTGCTCCCATGGCCAATGCGGCAACTAGATGCTCAGCAGTGCCACAAGCCCCCGACGCTATGAATGGAATCGGCAGCTTTCGAAGTGATAGAGGATACAACGTCCAATTGGTAACCTAAGTCAACCATCGATCATCGAACATACCACTCCTTCCGCACATCATCTTCTCCAGGATGCCCGCCAGCCTCGAAGCCGTCCATGGATATCATATCAGCACCGGCTCGAGCCGCGGTCAGAGCGTGCCTTATTGACGTACACTTATGAATGACCTAAACAAAACTTTACGACAAATGGCTTCGCCCTGCACCCACCTTAACGTCATGCTTCTTGAAAAACTTTATGAAGTCCGCGGGATTCCTGCCGGCCGTCTCGACAACCTTGACGCCCTCCTCGACAACTACATCAGCGAATGCTTGATAATTAGGTGGAACCTGATGAGAGCTCGAGAAAGGGTGAGAGACAGAGAGACTACCAAAGCTGGTAGAATTGTCATGTTAACAGCGAACGGCTTGTTCGTCAACGCCTTGCATTTCTTTATCTCTTCCCTCAGTTTTTCTGGTGTCTTGAAAGTGAGGGCAGTGATAGTGCCTGTAAAGGTCACGTTACCCATAGTAACGAGGAGAGCAGGGACCTACCGAGTCCACCGGCGTTGGATACTGCAGCGGCCATGACAGCGAAACCAACATGATGCATGCCGCCCTGCATGATGGGCTTCTCCACACCGAACATCTCTGTGAACTTGGTTTTGATGGGCATGATGGGATAGCGAGGTGTCCTTTGGAACGAACCCGTACAAAGGCAGCGAGACAGAAAGTAGTGAAGTACACTCAATTGAAGTACCCACTCTGCTGAGGTGGTTCATAACTCAACAACACTATAAACTAGAAGCAATCATTGTGTCCTCAATAGATCATATAAGGTCTTTCACTGGCTAGTAACAGCTCCCGCTGTTCCTGTAATCGTAGTGGCCATAAGCGATTAGTTGATATACCTGTAACGCGAAGTGTCGACAGACTTGCGAAGGGAGGGATCCATACTTCTTGCCGACTCCGTATTTAGTGGGACCATAGAGACGATCAGCCTCCTCCAAACTCCTCCCCTGAGACGCCCATAGGGGACGAATTTGCTACGAGCAGGAGAAATTCTTCGCAGTGCGTAAAGATACGCCGGGCTCACCCAAGCTCCAACGGAAGCCCACCACACAAAGTTCAAGGCGCAGAACATGGCGAATCCAAACCATGGGTTGCGGTTCTGAGGGAAAGAGGATCGACACGGATGGAATCTTGAGGTTGAATACGAAAGATACAAACTAGGTTGGGATTTGGTCTCATCTTCAAACTGTCTTGTGGTTACTTACTTGTGTGGAAAAGTCGATGAGCGGCTGTGGCTTGGGCATATCACCGTAGTCCCCAGAAGTCAGCTCCGGATTTAGACCTCTTTCGAAGCTCAGAGTGAATTTCCAACGGCGTGTCACCATAGTGGCCATCATAGGCCTCCTCGAGCATGCTGCTACACGAGATAGCATTGCGATACAGATATAATGATGACTGGTAGTGGTTGAACTCGGGTAAGGGCAGCTCTAAAGATCTGCCATGAATTCATTCTCCAATACTTTCGGCGCCAACTTCGGTCGAAAAGCGATAGGTTCCCCCGAGTTCATTCTAACCGGAGAGTCTCGCAAGGCCGTATCTGGTCTCATAATCCTGATGTTGTGCTTTGTTGACGGAAAATCGACCATCATAATCTTGCAAACTGCGATTTGTGAGAATACGTGGTATGGAAATCAAAATCGGTGACGGGACGAAGGAGTGAGTTATATTAGAATTTAGAGTGAACACTTAGTGGCGTGGATAAACACTCGATTCGGCAAAGCAACTCATCCAGGTTCAAGTCCCAGCATATTTACTTGGTTCATACCTGAGTGAATATGCGAGTGTCAAATTGATTTAGCAGTGGTTGTTTCTGGTATACAACGTACTATTCACAAGCGCTGGGGGTCATCATGGCGTGGGGTAACACAGGAGGCCTAGTTGTAGGCGGCCTAAGACTGTGCGCCTTTTCCTTGATATTGTCGATGATAATTAGCGTGCATCCTTTGCCTGACTGGATGATTATTAATGGTCAATATGTGTCCAGATGGCATGAGAATACAATGGCGCAGTATTAATCATCATCGGCATGGATGAATGGCTTTCTTACCATAGCCCCATTCTCAATGAATAGTTTCACACTATATGCAGTCGACTATTGCCAGGGCCTAGAGGCCTGTTCACCTTCGCGTTCCTTTATGCAGTTCGTTCACTATGTAACACAAAAGTTTCCGGTATGAAAATGGATTATATGCTGCTGGATGTGGATGATAATGAATTATTCAATTTCCATACACGGAATGAACGGTCATGTGAAACGGTAACGAACATACCCTCAGCCAACCGACATGAAGCCACACCTGCTATGGGCCCCTAAAAGTCGATGACACGCCCTTCTCACGGTAGGCAAGCAAGCAGACCCACGTTTGAATGTCGAGACGCATACTCTCGTTGCAATGAGCTGCCTTGTAGGCTCCACACCTTAATGATTCCATCACGACCGGCTGATACCAGTCGTGAATCCTCGCTGCCCGACGGGGCCTGACGATCACAGTCTACAACGGTACTTCATCGCCAACACAGTAACCTGGACGAGGCCGAGCGCGGTGATCCAGTCACTGTGGGCGGGGATGCTCGCTAAACACTGTCGACTTGCGGTACGCATGCTCACGTCATTCTGACCACACTTTGATGCTGGAACCTGGCAGCAACCAATTATCATCCAAAGAAAGAGGCGGTCTCCACCTCCCAAAGCTTTATGAATTTATCCCGAGAACCACTGACGAGGTGTGAGCGACCCCATGGCTGAAGACACGAGACGGCATCGAAATGAGGCGGTTGAAACCTGGGCAGCAAAAGTAGACCCCAGTGCAGGTCCTTGCAACCTGCCCTACACTTGACCGGTCGGAACCTTCGCAGGGTCGGTCCACATACGAATCTGAAGAGCCGCGGTCGACCGACAGTTCTTGGTCCCTGCCTACTGTTTTCTCTCTTCCGCCGGCGAATAACTTCGCGTCCTCAGAAGCGACAACTGCGAAAATGTCCATGTGACCACTGACCAGCTTCAAAGGGACTTGAGGCGCAGTTTCCGAAGCAGGCCTATCCCGCATGTTTCTCTCCACTAGATCCGATGAGAGCTTACGTGGACTCCCGTTTGGTGCCTCTATCGAGCTCCTCGTAGCTGCGCAGATCATACAGCTTGATCCCCGAGGCCGCAATAGCAAGATGCCCAATACCTCCGTTGGACCTACAGGGCAAGGGCCCTTCCAAAGGTCCAGGTGGTGGTAGTGCTACAAAAGGGCAACCTGGCTGATGTCTTTGGTCTCGCCAGTCAAGACAGTAGCCACACAGCAGCTGTGGGAAGGGCATCCTGAGAGGCGTGAGTGAGATGCGCCTTCCAAGCCGACCGACTCTTGTCGATGATTTTCACGTTGTTGGCTACTGCAGCAGCCACCAAGTTGCAGTCGACTGTACACAAGCTCTTCACGATGATGTTCTGTCCACCAGCTGGTATGGGCACCGACTTGATCTGCAACAGCCCTTGAATGATGGACTTTCTGATGATGTGACTTGCCTGAGTCGGCCGGCCACCAAGATCCCAGACACGAATATTCCCCATGCTTCCCGTCCACAGGTGGAGGCTAGGGCCTTCAGTAAGGCAGCAGCTAGTAAGGAAGTAGTCGTGGGCGTCCCGCTCTCGGTGAGTGCAATACCATCTGAAATCCCCAACCACCCAGTTTCGAATCCCACAGACTTCATTATTCCCTCACGGTGCAGTGGAGTCGTCAGCTCCCCAAAGGATTTCTCGTTCACCCACTCGTAGGTCCGCCGTCGAGCCTGCTCACCATCACACTGCCAAATCGCAACCTGTCAATGCCCACCTTTCCGACAGAACTCGAACGGTCTGTCCACATTCTTCCGATCTCCTTCATTTTCATGCTCAGTACTCCACTTCCGAATCGGCTGCGAGCCTATACCAACCATCAGGCCCATCCTCGACCACATTAAGGCAGCCCTCACGTTTGTAGTCCGCCGACTCAGTCGTTCGAGCCACTTGTGCTAGCCGGGCCCTCTTACTTGCCTTCAACGATCCAGTACGCTCAGTCTTAGGTAATGAGAACAATCGCCGGAGGGGACTTCAGCAAGAGCTCACCGATGAAGCATTCCCTCTTTCCTTCTGCAGCAGTTCCTTCTCCTCCTCAGCTGTCATCAGCTTCCGTCTCAGACTAACGTTGATGTCCTCAAGCTCCTCTATGCGGTCCTGCAGTGCCTTGATATGCTCACAACGTGTACGTGACAATAGAGCTTCTTGATACACTGTCTGTGACCTGAGAGACACGAGGCGTACCACCAGAAGGAAAGGCGGCCGAATTTTCTACTGCAACTCGCGGATTTCCTGGCTCTCAATGTCGTCCACCAAGGAGTGTCTCAACCCTTTCCTTCGTAGAGGCATAAACGAGGATAACGTAAGACTTGGTGACACTGGTGATGTTGATAGCGGGCCCTAATCGATCAAATATCCAAGGTTGCTCCTCGTAAGATATAGATCAGGTCCGAACTCACCTCAGGCGCACCATCATCAAGAGTAGGAGTTTCATTATTCATAATTGGTATTTCCGACACCTGAGCCAGTCCCGCGGTCCCTCTCACCACCACGACACCAGCCGGCGCCCACCTCCGTCCTCCCAGGCGTCGAGAGCCTTCCCGTTCCTCGACAGGCCAAACCAACAGCTGGCGAACCGTCTCGAGAGACATCCGAAGACCTCACTCCACCACTACGACGATGTGTTACTGAACAACAACGACAACCATGTTATCCATAAGCAAATTCTTTGCAGTGCGGGAAAATATACACATGGTCAACTACATGTGTTGGTGACAATATGGAGGTGCTGAGGAAATTTTGGGATTTTTTTTTGGTTTCTACCCGAGTTCATATATAAACTTCTTCAATTTGTGAGAAAATTCCTGAGCTCAGCTGAGGAAAGCAAATCTCTATTCCCCCAACACTGCCCCCAACGGACATACGAGGTGTAGATGCTTCCGCTAGCTGCTTCGATATGATAGCGAGCTCTGATATTTTCCTCTGCGATGTGAGCTCGGACACTCTCCTCGAAAAGTCGTTTTTCAGTAGGGCCATCTTCGATGCCTGTTCTGCTAGCTGTGACTCTTTCCTCGCGCACTCATCGCGTAGCTGTGCCAAGCGACTTTCCAGGCTGGCAGTTCGCTTCCGCCCTGAGGGACACTGCAATCACAGTAGACCTACGAATTTCGTGGCGCGTGACGGAACTCGATCATCTACAGTGAATAGGGGCAGGGAGGAGGGCTCACCATTGAGTAGCTCCTCCCAGAAGATTCTAGCCATCGCATCAAGATTTGACGCCACCACGGAAAGCACCTTGCCAAAAATACCTAGCGGAGCGAAGCACTTTCCTACTTCTTTCAGACTATCACCAGGATGTGCTAGACGATTTGAAGGGTCCGTGAGCTGAGACAAAGCCAGTTACTCCATCACCTCGATCAGCTGCCGTTACGCTCACCTCGATATACCTCCTCTGCATCACCGACCACTGGGCCGACATCGAATCCAGATTCTCTTGGGCGTCCAACAGCTCAGCCTGCCAACTACTGAAACCAGTAATTTCGTGGCGCGCGACATACGTGATATCTCTCCTGCGATTTCCTCCTGTTCTTCAACCCTTCAGCATCATCTACCTTAGCCTCCAGCTCGATGATATAACGTCTAGTCAAAAAACTATTCCTCTTTCACTGCATCGCTCCGCCGACCCCACCTCTGCGAATCCAGCCTTTTTTCAAGTTCATCAAGTTCCTCCGAGAGCTTCTCAGCCTACAACCAGTAAACGTCCTCAGTCCTTCCAAGTCCCTCAACTTACACTTTCAGAGGCACCATCGCGAGCCATCTGCCGATCCAGCAGGTCATTGAGCCAGATCTTGATGCAACTCAACTCAGCTCCTGGTCCCTTCTTCTGTCCTCTGGCTCTCTGTTGCTGCCTAACTTGTGCTGCTGGGCCAAGGGACTTCTTCCGAGAGTCGACCCCTGAGGAAATACACAGCAGTTCGCCATACCACACGTCCTCCATCACAGTGGCCATCAATATGGCTCCATCGAGCAACTACCCTATAGAAGGCTCTCGCGCGTAATAGATGGTCATAGGTCACACGAGATGACGCGCAAAGTAGCCAATAGCATAAGTCAACAGCTTACGCCTCTTCTGAGCCTCTTTCAGTGCATTCAGTTGCTTCAACAATGTCTCATTTCGAACAGTCAACGTAGTGACAGTCTTCTTGTTGGACTGAGCACACAATATGGCAGTCTTCCGAGGACGCCTGAATAGCACATCAGCGTTCTTCTTAGCCTCCAATGTCTTCTTGGCCTGTATTCGCTTCAACTGGTTTATCACCCTATCCCTGTCCTGGAGGATCTTCCGATGCGCCTGCAGCCCAAAATCTCAGCCATCATCATTACGAATAACAAATAAGTCAGGATGCCAATAATCTCGTCGCACGAGAAAGAAAAAAATTTTTTTTGTTTTAACAAAATATATATTATAGCCAAAAATGGTACGAACTCATCGCGAAGATTCCAAGGCCAATTCATGAGATCCCCAGACTCACTTCGTCATGTTCTTTCCTTTGCTTCTGAATTCGAACCTTCTCCGCCTTAGCCATCGACAACTCCTTTTCCAGGCGAACAACCTGCCATTGACACCTCTATCGACCTAGCATACCACACCTTTTCAAACTTACCTCCTGTCCACATCGATCCTTAGCCTTCTGAATGCTACTCAATTCCCGTCGTAGCTGCTGCATCTCCTTCTGTTGTTGGTCCAGCATCCTCTGATTATCTCGTTGCCTGAAAAACGCTAATAATCATGAATCGCTTCGCTCCGCCCTCACTTCCGCTCCAGTAACTCTGTCATTTTTCTGTCGCTTTTCTTAGCATTTATCTGTGCTGCTAACTCCTAAATACAATCAATTAACAGCGGAGCGAAGCAAATCACTTTCCCACCTCTTTTTCCTTGTTGGCCTTCTCCACCATGCCTTCATACATCCTAATCTTCTCAAGGTATGCCTGTTGCATAGCTGTATGGGATTCGTGCTCATCCCGAAGGCCCTGCAGATGCCGCTCCTGGGCCGCGATACTGAGCACAGCTCCACCATATAAGACTGTATATCATGTGACTCATATAAATAATTTTTCAAGCTACGTGGACATAATCGTGCGTGAAAAAATCGCATTCTCGAATTTTTTCACGAGTTCTTATCACATACTCTCATACTTTGAGCATAAGTCCCTCTTATGCGTTGCTTCCCGAAGTATATGACACTTTCAACTACATGACAACGAAGAGTCGGTCCTTACCTTCGTCGTAGACTATCACCACCCTCCACTTTTCCTTCGCCACCATTCTTGTTGTCCATCCAGTTGCTTGTGGCATGCAGCAAAGCCTCAACCGCTCCCGCCAGATCCTCCTCCTCCTACCCTCAGAAGTCAATTTCGTGGCGCGCGAGAAATGCATCCATGCATCACCTCCCCATCTCCTCGGTGTTCCCCTCCTTCTCCCACCATGCCGATCAACTCCGACAAATTGCTCTCGTCCAGTTCCAAATGCTGCAAAATGAACTCACCAAAATACACGTGCTGTAACTTTCCCACCTTAGCCAGGCGGTCCGTGACATCCCCAGCACTGCTAGTAGACGTCGTGTCACCATCGACAGAAGAGGTATCAAGTCCCGTCTCTTCCGGAGGTGCCTGAGGGAATCAATACTTCAGCAAACTATAGATATTTACATGTAATACACACTGTAGTTTCACCTGCTTTACGTGAAGTGGCGTAATACTCTGTGAAAAATCCGATATCAGCGATATGCAGTAATCGTGAAATATACTTTTCACTAGTGATACATGAAAAGTATATAACCATATATCCATGAATACCATGAGCAGCTTCCTCCCCGAAACCAATATACAGTAGTATCATAATAAGGAAATCAACAACTCTCTTCCGAGTTTCAACAGATCCTTCTCTACTTGTGAGATTTGATTCTGCGACTGCATTCAGGAGTAAGAATACAGTGCGTGTCAATTTGATATGCAAACGTGTGTAATTTTCAAGACTCATTTGTGAGAATCGATTAGAAGCTATATCGCATATACAATGTAACGATGGCTATGAACATGTGTTGTGATGAGAGTACCTGTTTGGGACTGTGATAGCGACAACTTGTTCACTATCATTTGTCCTCCAAAATGACACACACATTTGCATATCAAATTGACACGTACTGTAGGTCTATTGAGGATATCCATATGAATTTCAGAGACAGTAATAATACTCGAAGAAATAAGAGTAGCAGCTAGTATACGCGAACACACCAACTCGAAACTCTCAGCAGTACTCATCGCATTCACAGTATTATGGTATGTGGTCTCAGACAAAACACACCTCTGCAATGTGCGAGAATATGTAAATGGTCAGCTACATATGTTGGTGTCACCAACTTGGTGACAATACAAAAATGCCGAGAAAATTTTTGAGAAAATCGTGTAGATCTCTGAAAACTTCTATCCGAATTCGTATATGAGCCCTCCTATACTGGATGAGGAAACTCCTGAGATCCGTTGAGGAAACTGAACATATACATATATTTCAACACTGTGTATTGGTGACAATATGAAAATTCTGAGGAAAGCTCGTGAAATTCTTAGTGGTTTCTCCACACTTCTACCCGAATTCGTATGCAAACTCCCAAGCTCAGCTGATGGGAGTGACCATATATTCCTCCAACACTATACCTCTGTATCGCCTCTAAGTCTGCTGTTCTCACTGCCCAACTGTTTGTTCCGGGCCCACACCTTAGCCATAACATCGCGGTGCTCTGCCAGTTGTGACTCCAGTGATGCGCACCTGCTCGTCGCAGACTTCCTCAGAAGCCACATTCGAGAAATGCCCATTCTCACCGTTCCTGTAGGCGTTTATTGGCGGCGCGTTGCATTTCCATCGAGTTCCTTCCGTCAGCATCACAACCCTCAAAGCCGGGCGACGACGGTGGGGGGTCGAAGCCCTCTCCGGACGGGTCCAGACCACGAGCAACACACAAGGCATGAAGATCAGAGTACCTTGAAGAGATATTCAGTAACCGCTCGTAGAATCTAGAATGAGTCCCTGAGCAGCATTTACGAGTGATGAAGTTCGCCCACTGCACATTCGCCCGCACTCAACTGTTCTCGCATAGGGAATCAGTGAGGCTGCTCAGAAGTCTCGTGAGATCGATTATTGGATATAGCATTAGTGATGTACTCGGAGATTCCGTCACGCGCCACGAAATTCAGATAGTGCATATACACGGCATACGGGGTGTTCAGAGAATTCCGCCGGAATCCATTCCAGAAAGTATTCTTAGAATCGATTCTTAGAATCGATTCCTGGATCGTGTTCAGAGGATTCCATTCCCAAATATTCCGGAATGTATTCTGGAATCGATTCCGAAACGCGTTCAACGAATCGCGCTCTCAGAGTGAGTTCTCAGAATCTATTCTGGAATGGAAACCTTAATTTTTCGTAACTTGCAACTCTTGGCTCCGCCCACAAAGCACTCTGAACTTCCTTCGCCCGCAAGCGAAGGCGGAACTTAGCTATCTGGTTGGACTCCGTCAGGCAAGCTGAGCAAGGTAGATGAAGTAGTCAAGATTAAGTTGATTAACATACATTTTACATTGCGTATTCGTTTTACTAATGTCATCGAGGCTTGAGTACAAGTCCGCTCGAGGAAAATCACGGGACTTTGTACAAAACGAGTTCCACGACTTGCGCGAGATTCGCACAGATTCGCACTGCGAATCTGTTGATTTGTTGTCGAACGTGGTAGCCTCCCGCGCGCCACAAAATTCTCGGAAAGGAATTTTTGCATTCTGAGATTTCGCTTTCTGGAAGGTGTTTCAGAATGCATTCTAAAGTTTTCTGAACACGTTCGGAATCTATTCTGGGACTCTTTCCAGTATGTGTTTGGGAGCTGTTCTCTGAACGCGATTTTGGTGTTTTGCATTCTGGAATGTGTTCTGAGTTTCGGAATGGGTTCTCTGAACACCCCGATACCCTCTCATCGGGCGCGCGCTACTTACTTCCGTTGCCACTGTTCCACCTCAGCTCTGATGTCCTCAGCATTCTGACCAGATCCATGGCCCATGAACCGCAGCTTCTCCTCAGTGAGATCTCGGATCTGCAATCACCAACAGCAACGGCAACCGTTCCGCGCCCCTTCACCTGTTGTCTCAATTCCATCAACAACTTCTTCGTTGGGTCAGTGTTCACAACAGGTCTATTCGTGATGCAACGAGCGCGACTAGCATACCTAATTCCACTATAAATGGTCATGACTTAATCCTATCCCACTTTATAGTGTTGTAGGTCTCTGCAAAGTCCGCTCCTGCTGGTGACACACAGGCTATCATCACCGTACGAGAGTTGCCTCCCAACGAATCCTGACCAATCCAGTTCAATTACATTGCGAAGCGGGATCCGTCACGCGCCACGAAATTCCTGACCAGCCCTACCCACCTGAAGTATTCTAGTCAATTTACTGTCTCTGTAAGGGATCTGAAGCGAGCTGTGATGAACTGGTGTATCTCACACATCCGGCGTACATGAGACTGAGAGCCTCCACCAGTGGCGTCACCACCACCCACTGCTCCTGTTGTAGCACCACTGCTGTTCTCCTCCATAGCTGAGCTCAACGCGCATATGACGTTTCCCAGAGCCAACAGGCCACTGAGAACGAATAAGGGTGTTTACTAGTGGAGCTTGCATCGGGTTTCCCGTCAGAGTTGAATACCAAAAGAGCTTAGAAGGAATATAATTGAACACGAGGGAGTTGCATAAAATAGTTGAGCATGCTCGGTGTGGGAAAATATGCACATGGGCAACTACATGTATCGGTGACGAGATTGAAATTTAGAGGAAATTTTGCGAAATTCTCGTTAGTTTCTGAACAACTTTTCCTGAATTCGTGTATAAACTCCTACAACGAGTGAGGAAACTCCTAAGCTCAGCTGAGGAAGGCCACGGTATATCCCAACACTGACTCGTCGGGAAGCCACGACCGTATGGAAAGCAGCTTCCCTTCACCTGTTGATGTGTATCCCCTCCTTCATACGACTGCCAGTGGCCATGGTCCGCTTTATACGCTCACTGCCGGCCAGATCGACAAAGTGGAACTTGGCAACTCGATAGGAGCATCCCGCAGTTTCAGCGTCACCGTCCGAGCTCTCCGGATGAGCTAATAGCAACGATAAAGACACATCACAGGTGTAGGTTCCGAATACGAAGGTCTGTTCAACTAACAATCATAATGGAGATTCACCCTAGTGATATAAAAAACAGTAGTGAATAACATATTTAACGACTACTGCATATCACCGCGAATATCGCGTTTTTCGCCGAGTTTTACGCCACCTCGCGTAAAACGGATGATAACACTGTATAAATTCCTATTATATCTTCAGAAGGTGAGAATAATGGCCGGGACGAGCCGTTCGGAATTTTTTACGCAATGAACATCGCTGAGTTACATTCTGAAGTCGGCTTTGTTTCAAGAAAGCTCTAATCTGAAATATTAATTTCCCACGAATCTGCGCGCTTTTTGTAGGCGTTTTGTATATAACGTAGGCCTAAATTGGAGTTTCACCCGTTTTACGTGAAGTAGCGTAATACTCGGTGAAAAACGCGATATGCAGTAGTCGTGAAATGTATTTTTCACTGGTGTTTCTCATCTCACGGGTGAAACTCCATTACATGATGAGCTATGAATATAATACTAAAAATGATGTAATAAAAACTAGAAAAAATCCATCGATAACAACATCGCAAGATTTCATATGGAGCTCTCATTCTCTATACTGTCTACTAGTACTAGTCTTTCATGGTTTATTATCGTTATCAACAATAAGTTCAACTCAAGAACGCGACCCGCCCCCACGCGCTCACTTCGAACGACCATCCCTATTGTGAAAATGGCGTGGCTGCGGGAAGACTGACTGTTCATACCAGTTGAGGCCGTCCTGAAGCCATACTTCTGTACGACGCCCCCCCCCGTGAAATGCAATAATCCAATTCGCACTAGTTCAGCCTTTCAGTGCAGCTGTATTCGACAACTGACCGACCCAGCTGGCCTTACTGTCTCACGACTGAGCCCCGATCTAGACATAGATGTAGGTCAGCAGCACACTCCACTGGTTCCTCAGTACAACCGATAACCTTAGCAAGAGCATAAGGGTGCTGATGTTATCGATCAACAGGGCGCGCGCTACTTACAATGATGTTCTTCGACGTCGGGTCTTCAATAATTCGAATCTTATCCGTTGAAGAAGTACATCGGCTGATTCCACGTTTTCCACCACCAAGACCATTGTTAGCCGACCGGGCTGAAAGATACCACCACATCCCAAATCTTCACTGTGCGCACCCTTGCGAGTGGCATCACACGACTCACATGGAGCAGGGTCTAGTGCAGCTGCTGAGGGGTCGAGTAGATCTCGAATCTCCTCGTTGTAGAGCTCAATGAAACTGAAATGGACGCAGCCCGATCGCTATAGACTTAGTGAGTCTATCAGTTACTACTACTACTACTACTACTACTACTACTACTACTACTACTGCTACTACTACTACTACTCCTACTACTACTACTACTACTACTACTACTACTACTACGCATCATAAAATTGCCATTGTTTTCATGTACTACAGAGATTTCAACTGTCTCCAAATTCAAATTGCACAATCAGCGAATTTCCTCTCCGATGAAAACACTATGCTACGATGGGTATATCAGGAGGTTGGCGATGGTACGGCAACCGACCTGCATGTGAGCTCGATAGTCTCCTCCGGATTGCTTTCTTCAACTCGTCGACAAATTTCTCCAATGACCTGTTCATTCGTAAAGGTGATCGGAACTGGACGATTCAGTGAACTCACTCGAGGGATGAGGCCAGAGTCTTGGGATACGTAGCTCGCGCTACCCATGGTGTAGGTCTTACCAGAACCTAAGGATGAAAAATGCAGGGAGCCGGGATCGAACCCGAGACCTTCACCTGTTTGACCATACGCAATCACTGTGCAGTTGTAGCCCGCGAAGAACTGGTCAACGAGGGGCTCAATAGAAGCGGTGTATAGTGCGTTCTGGAAGAACCAGTTTTCCGAGGGGTAATAGCAGCAGTAGCAGCACTTGGGAGGAGTTTTGATCATAGACCCGGTCGAAAGTGTAAGCCTTTGCCAACGACGAGATGCACACTGTCTTTTCCCCTTCGACGGTTATGCACGCTGACGAGCCTCCACTTGAGAGATTCTCGCTTGTGGTCAATGGACGTACACGAATGCAAACCTAATGATGTCTATAACAGCACACCTAAGGCCTACCACTTTACGTTGATATTCTGTGACGATGACGACGACTTGTGTGAATCAATTGATGAGGACGTGGTAGCACCAATGGTAGGCATATTAGACCAGAGCAATTGAACTGGAAGATGGAGTCCCGATAAGCGCAACCATCGTTGGGAAATGCCAAGACTGGAGACTGAGCATGCTACTGCAGTGTGCAAACTGATGGGCGTTCCTCGTCTCTAGGGAGGCTCTCAGAAGTTTCCTGGCCGGGGTTCTGCAATTTGGTCGAGGACCATAGGCTAGGTCTTTCTCCTGAAACTGGTTCCTATTGCTCTATCATTACAGCGCCCTTACGTATATCATGAACGATTTCTCTGAACAGTTTCCCGACTTGTCGAAAATCTCTTGCTGAGACTCGCCAAGCGCGAATGCCCTGCTCTCGGGCGAACAACTCCGCAGTGTGTGAAATCTGCTGGTATCTACCACAGCACCGTATTGTCACCCTCCTAGCCTATCAAGGCAGGGCAAGAAGGTGATGCGAGATCCCTAGTTTTGACTATAGTGTCCCTACTGCGAGGAGTCTGGGTCCAAGTCACACTTGTTCGCCACAAGATACACCACAGGTCGGAACCTGATCCTTTTCTTTTTAAACGTCTCTTCCATCAGCAGAGCTATGTTCAGTGCCTCTTCATAGGACTTCTGACTCGTACCTGCAGCATCGTCATCATCATCAACACACTCTGATGATGACGGGGTAAAGTCACGACGACGAGGTGGTAGTCGAGCGACAAGTTCGGCACTTCCGGAGAATGAGAAAACAGAATGACAGGAACACAATGACGTTTTCAGTTTCTGTTTCTAGTATCCGGCACTATGTCATCAATGCCGCGATGGTATTGATTTGCAAGAGGAGTGCAGTGGCAGACCTCACTCGAGGCATAGCACTATCAGCTGACTACAAGCCCTAACCGAAGGGAGCTTACTATCAAAGACGATCATGAATCCCATGCGGCCCTCCGATAGCGGACGATATCTACAACGGCTGTTATATGGCAGTAAACTCGATGCCTTCACCTTCGGGCCTTCGGTGCTTCGGCTAGTCCAAATGGCGGTATCGAATTCGCGCCTTCCGCGTTATTCTGAGCGTTGACCGACTAGCGAGAGAGTTAGGGTGAATGGCCTCACTTCCTTCTCATTCGAGAGGCGTCGTCTGAGGCCGAGGAAGTTCTTAACATTGCGGGGAACTGCATGACCGTTTTCGCTCAAGGTCTGAGGGGAATCAGTCAAGCCAACCAGGCTTGGACTAACAAAAATTATCAGACAGCGTGTCCGAGTGGTTAAGGAGGTGGACTAGAAATCCACTGGGCTCTGCCCGCGCAGGTTCGAATCCTGCCGCTGTCGTTATGCATGGTTGTCTTCAACATTCATAATAACATCCCTACCTTTCCATCAGCCCTGTAACTCGAATAAGTATCTTCAATTTCCAACATCGACCATTCATCCACCTCATCGTCGCCTCCAGATGACAACACCGTCTATGAGTACACGAATCGCGACGGAGGCCCACTAGCGAGTAGCGAACCAACCTTATAATACAGAGTAGGATGGTCTGTCGGAGTATGCTCATCCAACACTGTATTATTAACCTGTGAAAGGATACTCACCATCAGGAGGCACTGCGCCCGATGCCCTCACGAATGAATTCACTAATGACGTCTTACCGCTACCACCCATCCCCAATAGTGTAACACGCAAGATCGGAGGACAAGCTTTGGCCGCCATACTTCACATAAAAAGATAACAAGACTGCAGAGGCGACAGCAAGTGTTGATTGCCCTCCTAGAAAAGAACACTGAGCATCCGTGTCCCTATCTTCTTGTTGAAACACTGAAGACGACTCGACATTGTAATTTCGTCCGCGATCGAGTGCCGATATACAACAGCGAAGATGGGTTCAAGTCACACGTCGCTGTCGAGCCAACTCTCTTCGAATAAGCTCATACGTCCCATTGAATTCACAGACGCGATACATAGTGGTAATGGAGACATCCAATCATCAGCAGTGATAGAATATCTAGCGATCCCATCATGGACTCTCTCTCTCCCTCTCTATCTGCCATCTCTCCGAGTCTACCTCTCTACCATGGAAGGTCCTTTACCTCCACGAGTGGACCTAGGCCAAAATGGGCTGCTGCGGAGGGGTCAGTGTAGAGATTCCAGCTATAAAGCTACCCTCCCTCCATCACTACCACACCCAGAGACTTGACAGCGATACAACAAACAAACATGGTTTTCCACATGGCCCGGTCCTCCACAGCCCAGCCGAGAGCCATTCAATTCTGTATTCCATGAGTTGCCACACATACCTGTACCCTGACTCGAAAGAATAGCCCACCGGGAATCGTCTCGATACCCCTATAACATGACATAAACTAACTAAAGTGACTACACTAAAAACAGAAAAAACTATACTAAACTATAAACTAACAACACTTACTCATCCTTCAGTACCCTATGTCACTACACCCTCCGAATAACTACAAGTTGTTGACCACTACAACCCAACAAACAACATCAAGCTCGTCCTTCATACTCCCAAAAGATGCAAGCAGAACTATTCGGGATGATCCTACTGTCTTCTCGGCTTACGTTCGGAAAGAGGAGGTTGAAGACTATAATAGTAGTAGTGTACAAAAGTATTGATACACTGGTGAATTAATAGTACACTGAGAATGTCCAGGAGCCTAGTCTAAGGGGAATGCGGAGCCGTTGTGGCTTCAGTTCGAGCGGAGAGCACCGGAGGGGGGCTCGATCGAGTGGGCGCCGATTCCACATCCACTGGGGGAGTAGCATCAGATGAAAAGCATAGCAACTTCTCATACCTAAAATACCGCATATCCAAGGCTCGGCCGTGCAAGATACAAAACTGGCCTGCCATCACTACCATTTCCGCTCCACTTTGTTCGTCTGTGAACTACTGGCCATCTCTTCCTGTTGTCCGCCATCACCAGCTGTGCTCCTCACGACTGTCTTCCAATCCTTCGTGTCACCGTTGCTCTTCATCATATCACCGTCATCATCACCCTTTGCCACCTCCTTATCGGACCTCTGCATCCTCTCTTTAGTCCGCAACTCGTTGAGCTCATTAGTAACTCTCTCCAGCTCGGCCTAAAGGAGTCCGACAACTCCCCGGATAACCGCGTGCGAACGAACCACATCATCACAACATATCTCTGCAACCAACAGTAACCATCCCCGCCCACCTTGAGCTTAGTGATCTCTTCATCTCTTTGCTTGCATCCGTTGGCCAGTGCCCTATTGGCCATCTCCAAGGTAATGTCCTGACCTTCGGGAGGGCCCATCATGAATCGATTGGATGCCCCTTCTTGCTTGGCTGATTCCAACCTGAAGCCAACCATACCAAGTTCCGATAAAAAGCTCAAAATCCAGCCATCGTCGCTGACTAGCCCTTCCACAACGCCTAAGCTCCCCCTGCCCGAGCTTATTACGTTTGCTCGATGGCCCGATCGAAGAATCTCTTCGAAGATCCCTCATCACCGTTGCAACTAAAATGGACATCCACGCCCTGTTGAGCAGCTCTGTCCTCACCCTTGTGTAGGTTGTATTATACTAACGGTGCTGTCGGCCTCATCTGGTATCTCTTCATCACCACCGTCGTCTTCAGCACTAGCTACCCCTACGGCCCCACTGGCCCTCAATCGCTCAATCTGATGGAAAAATGGTAAATCGGACCGAGTTGTTCCCCACACGAATAGAGCACTAGCCAAACACGAGTGATGCTACTTCCTCCTAGACCACATTGGGAGAGTTCATCACGATCGACAATTTTGGGAGGAACACCAAGCAAGTGATAATCCTAGGCCTAGGCTCACCAACGCCAACAAACTACTTATTCTACGCATA